CATAAAGTGCTGTAGGCATAGGCGACTTTCCTATCAAACTAGGCCCCTGCCTCTCTCCCCCCGCTCACTGCATTCCCACTTGGCACCTGACTGGGACCCCCAAGAAAGATTATCCTTCTAATGGCCAGAGGCAATTTGTGCTGCTCACATTTGAGTCCAGCAAAGCCAGTCAATAAGAGCTGTGTGGAAGACAGGAATGTAGAGCTCTGTTCACAGCAGGGCCTGGATGCTCACATCAAACACTGCTCTGTACAACTTAAGAACACCCTGCTGCGTTCCAGATTTGAGGGGAAAAAAGTCTTTTTTTTGTTTTTTTGTTTTCAAGTGGCTATTGCTACTGTTACTTGTTTCAGTTTGAGAGCTCACTTCACCCAAATACACACACACATATTTTGGGGTTTTCAGAAGCTGTTTATTTTGTTGCTTTCTTAATGTTGATATTTTGGGCTTTTTTGTTTGCCACTTTGACATTTTCATTGACATTTTTTTTTCAGTTAACTCCTGGAAGATACACAGGGATTTCCCAATGATTGCAAAGCAGATGGTGGCAAAATCACAGTCTTGGATTCAGAATGGGAAGCCCAGGTTTGGGTCCTAGCTCTACCACCTAACTGGGACAAATCATTCCACCTTAGTTTGTCTCTGAAATAAGAGAAATATGAACTCTGTCTTTCCAGACTTTCAATTCCATAAGGACAGGGCTCATGTCCATTTTGTTTAAAATTGTCTCCATACACCTATCCTAGCACCTGGTATTTTGTAGCCCGCAGAAAAGATCATGGAGCGACTGAATGATGATTGTGGAGACCAAATAAGGTAACAGACATTAAAATGCTCTATAAATCCCGTAGTGGTCCACACAGGGAAGTGTAATTATTGCCTAGACTGGGAATGTATGGATTTTCCCCAAACTAAAGAGTTATTTAGCTATTTTAGGATAGTGGAAGATACTTTGGCAAATGTATTTCAAATGTGCATAATAACCTTGATGAGGCTCAGCGCTATAACGCAAGTGAGAGGCAGGGCAGAGACCTAGCTGTTTTCCTGCCCTTGAATTTTGAAATTTCTGCATTCTTAAAGTAAACTTCTCTTTGTTGTCCAGTTAGCAGAGCTATTTTTTGTTAATAGAAACCAGGAGCCTTTAGCAAGTCTAACTATTAACTACAAGCTGCTTGAGGGTTCACATGTATTCACAGTTCCTAGCACAATACCCTGCAAAGAGAAAGTGCTCAGTAAATGTAAGACACTGATACTGAACTTCAGGGATGTTCCTCTCCAGAAATGGCTCTCCTCCCTGAAAGTCCCCTTCCATAAGGCTCCTGAATGACTTCTCCTCCCCCAGAAGTCCCCTTCCCTAAAGATCAGTAATTACTACTGATATACTTGTCCCATCTTCCCTTCTGAACCAATGTTCTCATGCCCCAGCATACCCTCCACCGGGACACAGGGAGTCGTGGTGGAAGTGAAGAGGCTAAACGCTGTACTAGAATTGTAAGCTCACTTATTGCATGAGGTTTATTTGGTATCAACTGTAAGTTGGTGAATGTTCGAAGAAGTGAAAGAAGGCAGTCAAATTTCTAGACTTGGTGACAGGTGAGTAACATATAGAGCTTAGAATAGTTGGAAGATAGACACAAACACACACAGCTATAGAATAATTTAAGTATTATAATACATTCAAGTACACAGCCCTCTGAGAGCTCAGAGGTTATGCCAATGTGCTGGGACTTGAGATCAAAGAAGGCTTCAGAGAGTAGGAGACGTTTGTATTGGACTGTGAAATATGCGTAGGACTTCTCCAGATGGCAAGAGTCAGGAAGAAGGGCATTCTAAGCAGAGGAAATAACAAGTTCAGCCACAAAGAGGGGTGGACAGATGTGACAATGACAGGGACTACATTGCATCTGGAAAGGCTAGACTAGCATTTTCCAGAAGATGCTCTGAGGAAAAAAAGATGTTCCATAGCCAATAAATTGGAGAAATGTATCCTGTATTCTCATTTAGAAATGTAAAATGCAGACTTGCTTATTAAAGACTCTGAGCAATCATTTGGGCAGCTACACAGATAGTCCAGAGAAATATAGTAGGGGACATGAAGGGGGACATGACGGGGGACAGTGAAAGTGAAGCAATAGAGGATAGATGTAGACAGATTTCAGAGGGAGCATAATTAGAAGCTGCTAAATGTTGAAGAAGATTGGGTGTAAGAGGACTAGGTTTTAGCTTGTTGAACTAAATAGATAGCAACGCCATCTGAGAAGAAAAGTATTTAGAAAAGGTAACACGGGTTTTGAAACTTGTCATGTTGAATGTGAGCTGACCATGAAGCAAGCCTGTGAAGATGTTGAGACAATTGACAGTACATGTCCAGGATCCACAAGTGAGTTGTAGCTCAAGAAGATGCTGGGCAACCATTAGAACTGCAATAGAAGAGATCAAGCCCCGGACAGGGCATTGGATTGGATGAGGCCATTTTGGCCCAGGGACTCTACTATTTTTAGAGTCAGAGGGACCCACACTGAGGAGTGTAGGTGGTCAAGTCTCTGGCTACTGATTGCCTCCAAGTTCATAACCACCTGCAGCTGATCATAGAAGTACTGACCACAAAGAAGAGCTCAACATCTGCACACATCCCACTGAAAGGAAGTAGATTAAAAGATAAACATTTAACCAGTAAAACTTTTCAGGGGCCCCATAAAACCATTATGTTTCTGTTGGGCTGTCCTAACTCAGAAGAAACAATAAAAACACAGCATATTCAAGCACAATCATAGGAAACTGCCTACATTCCTTGTCATGTACTTTACTGATCAATACAGCCTGGTAGAGTGGAGAGAGCACTGGGCTAGAAGTCAGGTGGTCAAGGTTCTAGTCATGACTAGATCAGCAAATCATTGTAAGTCCTAGTGAAAATTATCTACTTTCTATGTGACTCTATTAACATATGAGTAAAATGTATTTAAAATAATTATACCATCCAGGTGCAGTGGCTCGTGTCTGTAATTCCAGTGCTTTGAGAGGCTGAGGAAAGACGATTGCTTGAGGCCAGAAGTTTGAGACCAGCCTATACCACACTGGGAGACCTCAACTCTACAAAAAAATTTAAAAATTAGTCAGGTATGGTGGCATGCCCCTATATACAGTACCACCTACTTGAGGAGGCTGAGGTGGGAGGATCACTTGAGCCAGGGAAGTCAAGGCTGCAGTGAGCTATGATCATGCCACTGTGTTCCACCCTGGACAACAAAGAGAGGCTCTGTCTCAAAACAAAAACAAAAACAAAAACAAAACAAAAAAACACCCACACTGCTTATTCCTAGGGCTGTCAGGAAGGTTCAATGAGATTGGTTCATTTTGTGAAAGACAACGTTAATAATGGATACTACTTGTACTGAATATAAAACCTAAACTGTTGAAACTGTGAAGAGCCCTGAATACTGAGGAACATAACATGTTCATTTTGCAGATGAGGAAACTAGGCCCCAGAGATGGCAGGTGATTTACCCAAGGTCAGACACACAGCAGGGACAGAGCCACCAGATAAGGTGGAAGCTCCTCCTTCCTGGTGTCACTGCTTTCTAAAGACCAAGGATTGGAACCTTGTTTGAAAACAAATCATACACTGGAAAGAAATTATGGGTTGAATAGCTAACATGTGTATTCAAAATTCCAAGCAGCAAATAAAGCCTGTAGTATGAGTAGTCCAGGTAACACTATTTGCCTCCATACTTCTAGGAAGTGAGTAACTTTCCTTTGTTGTGTCAACTCGAGTTGGCCACAGTCTTCAGAGTTTCACACACCTCCACTCAATGACTTTAACATACACTAATCCATTCTGTGATGGTGAATACTTTCATTTATATTGATATCCTCATAGACTAGGTTAGAAATTCAGATGCATTAACACAGCCCTCTCCTGTAGATCTTCTCCTCTCTAACTCTAGATGGAATGCTCTAGGTGAGGAGCCATGTATTAGTTTGTTCTCACACTGCTATAACAATACTGTCCAAGACTGGGTAATTTATAAAGGAAAAAGGCTTCATTGACTCACAGTTCCAAAGGGCCGAAGAGGCCTCAGGAAACTTACAATCATGGCAGAGGGGAAAGCAAGGACCTTCTGCACATGGCGGCACGAGAGAGAAGTGCAAGCAGGGCTTATAAAACCATCAGATCTTGTGAGGACTGTCACAAGAAGAGCAAAGGGGAAACCGCCCTCATAATCCAATCACTTCCCTCCCTCAACATGAGGGTATTACAATTCAAGATGACATTTGAGTAGGGGCACAGAGCCAACCATATCAGGCCAAAATTAATTTCTTTCCTGAACTGTGGCAAGAGTCTTCTAACTGATTTTGATCTTGCTCCTTTGCCTTTTCCTTTCTGGAGTTGGCATTATTATCTTCCCATAAGGTTACTACTTCTTCTCTCCCTGTCTCCACAGCACACAGCATAAGACCTCAAATCTTCATCCTGGCATTCAGACTCTTTCCAGATCTGATCCCAGTCTCTCCAGTTTTATTTCTTCTACTTCCTTATTTGTATGTTACATTTCAACCTAAATTAGACTCATTGCTAAATCCTGAATACACATAGGCCTTTCTTTATACTAGTCTCTCATCTGGTAGACCATTCATCAAGACCCACCTCTGTTTTCCTTGCACCATCACAGTATCATGTTTTTCCTGTTTTCAGTACATATTTCCTTTCATAGTGTCATGATATGTGTACTGGTCCCACTTCCTCATTAGATGGTCCTCATGTTGATTTTATCTCCATCCCCCATAGAACTTAGCTCAGTGCCTGGAAACAAGTCTCTTCCAGAAAAAGCTGACTTACATTATTTGAGGAAAAATAGACATACTACACTAGAACTGAAGACCATCATACTAAAACTTTTTAAAATAAACAGCTTCGGCTAAAGATGAAAGTATTTCCATGCAGCTTCAAATCAGATTTGAGTAGCTGATTCTCCAGACAAACTCTAGGAAAATTGTTTTACCTGTTTTCCCGCCTGACAATTCAGTTGCCTAAGTTGCTTTGAAGTCTATAAAATGGCCAGTATCTCCAATCTGAGCAACGTTTCCTTTCCAGACAGGAAGACTGCTGCTAAGTACAGAAGCCACGCTTGTTTTTGTGGTCGGGCTGCAATGGTGACTCATCCAGTAAAGCCAGAGACTGACTGTTTTGATGTTTCACCGTTCAGAGACTCTTTATAGTTGTAATTTGCTTTCTTTCTCTCTCTCCCTCATCACCTCTGGTGACTTATCGGAAGGGTCACACACATTTAACAAACGGAACCTGTATAAGGAGAGAGAGAGAGCACGCGATTAAACACACTTTCAGCTAACGCCCAGAAATAGATGCTTGTGTTTACAACTCTGATGATAGGGTTCCAGTAATGACTTGGCCTTTTTCTCCTTGATTGAATATTCCCTTGGGCCTGCCAGTCCAGGCTCCTGTTATTTAATGAGGACATTGGAGCACAACATCAAGATGTCTGCAAAAATGACCTTTCTTTTGGGCTCACTCCAAATGCAGAGAAAAGAAGAGCCCAAGTTAGACAGGGTGGTTCTGGAATACAGCTTTGGAATGTGTCCTTTTCCCAGAAATTCAGAATCACGGAGTCATGCACTATCAGAGCCGGAAAGAACCACGGAGATGATCTAGTGAAAAGTTTCATTTTTCACATGGAGAAACTGAGGACTAGAGAAGAAAAGCAAGTTGCCATAAAATACATAGCACAGTCACAACAAATCTTAGTATTCCTTTGAATAGCTTGAGACAGAAATTAACCATGGGCTAAATGTTGGCTTTAAATAAAAGAGAAGCTTTCCTTAGTTTCTCCTGTGTTATATTGTGGCACTATTATGCTCTCCTTTTCCTACTCAAGGAGATGAGAGATGAGTAGCACAAGCATAATAATATGCCTCTGGCTATAAGTTCAATGTCTCACTGTTACCTTTGAAAGCCAATATAGGACAAGGAAAAAGGTCAGTGCTGAAGGGTCTTAACGAAGACAATCTCAGAGATCCCAGATCTGCCTTATTTACTGTGTATTTGCGTTTTGGCTTCACCTGCAAAATGGGGGATTAGTTTACCAACTGAGCATTCTTAGGAAGTTGAAATGAGAAAATATGATCAGAAAATGCTCGGTAATATAAAGTTCTACTGCATTTGTTAGAAGAATTATTATTATGTTATCGACTCCTATATATGGTCTTGTTTCCTTCAAGACAGAGATTTTACATTCTCAAATTACTATAATTTTGCCTTTTTGTGAGCTTTTTCCTAGTCAACTATATATATATACACACACATAAACACATATACATATAGATACACCTATATACACATATACATATACACACAAGAATATCTATAATTCCAATATTAGAATGTATCATAACATATTTACATAATAATATCTTAAACGATATTACTTTTTGTAATGTATAGAAGTAATTCATTAGGGATTTCTTTAGCACCAATTTAAACACTGAAGCCCAAGTTGGAGTCTCCCTGAGTCCTCCCATCAATGAAATTACTACATAATCTGTGCTCTAATTTAAAACATTTTTGAGAGTAAAAGGTAAGATTATTACTAATTATGCTGCCAAAAAGGATAAATCTGAACTGTTCTGGGTAAAGGGCGACATACGATCACGTTACTTAGACTTGTGCAGAATTTTAGGTATTTTACCTGCCAGCGGTAACATGGCATGGGGTAAAAAGCACATATCTCATAATCAGAAGTTTTGTATCCAAGCTCAAGATCCGACAATGTTAGCAAAACTCACATATGGCCCTGAACCTCACTTTCCTCTTCTCTGAAAAGCAGGTCATTCCTTACATCTCAAACTCAGGTTATCACCTGCATTTGAGGAAGAATGTAAATGAAAGCCTGTTACAGCTGCAATATATAGCTCTACTGTCGGATTTTTAAAATAGTACTTTCAAATGGATTTTTAAAAATGCACATTAGTACTCTTCATATCACATCATGGGTGTGTCCTAAGTAGTTCATATTCTACCAGAATATAAAAAGGATTGCTTGATAGTAGACCCCTCACACTCACAGAGGAGAATCTACATTTGCCTCTAGTTTCATCCCATTACACTCCATGTCAAGGGACTATTGGCATTCTCTTTCAAGCTCTTGTTCAGTTTTATTAACTACTAGTTAAAATAATCTGCTACATTTTGACCATGCCAAGCCATTTTCCTCTGATAATATTTGAGTTACTGAGATTATACCTGTAAGGTCCATTTTAGGCCAGTTAAGAAAGCACTAAGAATAGAAGTTTAACTTTTTCAGGTACTACATGTAAGTTAATTTACCATTTCCTTGATGAGGAGCAATATTTGAATTCTCTGAAGCCTCATAATCTCTCCCAGGCAGAAAGGAATCATGGATCTTAAAGACAGTCAAAATGGTTATCTTCTGGTTGAGTTCTTCTTTCTATAAATGATGAGAAAGATCTCATGGTGCTTATAACCCTACATACTTGGTACTATACATGTGCCTAGAACCCATGGCACATGATGTATGTGTCAAGACCTGTACATACAACGTGATCATCTGGTTGAGGATATTCTGTGTTACTCAGAGCTGAGCTTGCCATGAGTGCTTGATAACTGCATTACAATTCACTTATCATTGTCATAGTCATCAACATAATCATTTATCAGTTCAACATTCAGCTGAGAAGTTTTATTATCCCTCTTATGAAGAATGCCTTAAGTATTATCTTTGATTTATCAGCTTCCATGAGATTTTTTTTGTGCATTTCTCTTTCTTTCACAATGCCTAACACAAGGCCCTGTATAGAAGTAAATGTTTGATCAATGTTAGTAAAATAAGTAATATTATTTTCATGCTCCTTCCACGGTGCACGTGAAACAATCATACCTTTACCATAGCTCAAAATCCTACACTTTTTTCTTCATCTGTGCATTAGTGAAAAAAGCAATAGACTTGGACTTAAAATAACTGAGCTTAAATAAGGAGTGAAGCGACAACTCTTTCCAACAGACTAGTTTCAGTTAATAAATGTAGAGAAAATGAGGAAAATAGAAAATGACCATTACAACATCATAATAACAATGGCAACAAGCAAGATCCACCACAAGAGGCTAAAATTAGTTAATGAGGGAAAGTTTAAGTATAAACAGCATATTTTTATAGTCTCAAGTGTCACTTCTCAAAATATTTAGTAATAACAAAGGGGGAAACAGCAAATTTCTGGTGGAAAATTCAGCAGATGCCATCTTAACCAAGTGATCAGGGTTAATGTCACCAATAATATGTATCAACATAATATACCACGGCCTGAGAAGAATGTGTCCCTGCTGTGGCATCTTTCCCAATACCTTCAGTATAGTCCTAAGAAAAAATCAGAAAACCCAAAATTGAAGGACATTCTACAAAATAACTCATCAGTACTCTTCAAAAGTGTCACAATCATGAAAGAAAAGGAAAAACTATGAGAAACTGTCGACAGATGGCAGGAGACCTGACAACTAAAAGCAACGTGGAACTCTGAATTGGATCCTAGGAATAAGAAAGGACATTTGTGAAAAAATTGATGAAATATGTATAAAGTCTATACTTTAGTGAATAGTACTAAAGTTAATTTCTTAGTTTTTGTCATTGTTCCATGGGTAGGTAAGATGTTAATATTAGGAGAAGTTGTTGTTGCTGTTGTTGTTGTTTTCCTAAGTCTAAAATTATCTCAAAATAAGAAGTTTAAAAGATAACTGAGTTGGGCCAGGTGCGGCAGCTCATGCCTGTAATCTCAGCACTTTGGGAGGCTGAGGTGGGCAGATCACCTGAGGTCAGGAGTTTGAGATCAGCCTGACCAACACGATGAAACCCCATCTCTACTAAAAATACAAAAAATGAGCCAGGCATGGTGGCAGGCACCTGTAATCCCAGCTACTCAGGAGGCTGAGGCGGGAGAATCGCTTGAACCCAGGAAGTGGAGGTTGCACTAAGCCAAGATTGCCCCATTGCACTCCAGCCTGCGCAACAAGAGCGAAACTCTGCCTCAAAAATAATACTAATAATAAAATAACTGAGTTGAAGTGCCAACACTGCCACCTACCAGTGGCATGTCCTTAGGAAAGTCGCCTAAGCTCTCTCAGCCTAATCTTTCATTATCACTAAAATTAGAGAAATAGTACCAACCTTTTGTTGATATGAGGTCAAAAAATGAGATAAGGAACACAAGGGCACTTCGAAAACTATAAACTCTTACAAAAATATCATTATTACTTCTTAACTCTTTGACCTTTGTGTCTCATTCAACTACAGTTGCCAGATAAAATACAGGACTCCAGTTAAATTTGAATTTCAGATAAACAACTTCTTTAGTATAAATATGTTCCATGTTATGGTTGAGACATACTTAAAACAATTTTTTTCTTTAGATGTCCTATATTTTTATTTCCTAAGTCTAATAAACCTACTTCGACCTGACTTCCAATACTCTGTCCCTTTCTTTAAGACGTCATTTTCCCCTCCCCCAGGCCATCTTTGCACAATACTGCAGCTCTGGTACAATGATTCTATGCAAATGCCATGGTGGCCCATGCTCTAGGAGAGAGCTGCACAAAGGTTCGTCTATCACAAGAGTCTAGCAAAATGAATTAAGAGTACATGACAAATAGGAATTTTCCCTTTCTGATTCATCTTGCAATTGTGCAAAATTTATCTTAAAAATTTTAAGTTATTTTTACTTCTTACTCCCCATAAAAGTCCAATGATAAAAATTCTGTGAAGATTTTTTTAAGCTATGAGGAAAGATCAAAATCAGCAACAACCTATAAGGTGGTCCTGGTAGACTAAAGTATGAGCCTACCTCTTGGAACCTGTAGTGTGGTTTTGGGGAAAGAAGTAAAGAGAGGAAGAGGAAGGATTTGAGCACAACATTTTTACATATACCAGCTAGGCATATAGGGAGTTATGCTTAACTTCACTTTCCTGGTGAGAAACTGAGTCTGAGGGAAGACAACTTAGACTCTACCTCAGGAAGGCCATTGATTTCATACTTCTTTCTCTTCCATAACATCTGGACCTACAGGTTCCACCCACGGGAGATCTCTTTTGTGAGGTTTCCTCCTTTATTCTCCAAATCAAGTATGGTTTGTTTTTCTCTGAATCTTCACATTGCTTTAAAAAGACCTAAGACCTTTACCTGGGAGTATAGCCACATGTATTCACATGGTATTCATATCTCTTATTTTGGCCTTAAGGACAAAGATCATGTCATGTTCATGTCAAGATAACCTACAGTATCTCTAAAGCAAAGGTGACTTTCAAAATTGAAAGGTGAGAGGCCCAAGTACTGGTTCAGGTTGACCACTAACTTGGCACATTGGTTACAATATACATTGTGGCAGGTACAATTTTAACTTGTGTCAATAGTTTCCATTTGTTAACATATGCCAGCACTTATATGATCTCTAAAATCCTTCCAGTTCTGACATTCTGCCTCTCAGGATCCCAGTTTTTGAAGGTGCAGACACCTAAGTAATGGTTTTGTGGTCCCAATGCTATTCTGGCTACTGAAATCAAATTCCTATGGGTATCGTAATTTTCCTTTTTGGTTGCCACTCCCATAGTTCCTTCTACTCACCTTGGAGGTATATCAGAAATATTATCATGGATCTTCTGTAAGGGATGATCCAGACTCTGAGGCCTGACTCAACGGAGTGGACGGTAACAGGCTTTCTGTGGATCAACAGCATGAAATCTCTGGGTGTCTTTTTACCCAGGTCATCTTCATAAACCATCCTGTTTCAAAGGAAAGATGCAGATTTATAATTACTGACAGCTTAGAGGTCAGAAGCTCTAAGTTTATATGTTGTTTTACAGGATATTCCTGCTGGATTTAAGTCTAGAAACTGGATTCAAACCCTAGATCATTATCACACTCATCTTTCTGCATTTCTGGTTAGCAATTATTTCACAATGAAATCATGTAAATAAGAGCTGTCTTTCCTTCCCTACAGGGTTTGATAGGAATCAAAGAAGATACAGCTAGCAATAATTTATAGAATGCATAGCGAACACCAGGTACCAAGGTAAATACTTCACTTGTATCATTTAATCCTTCTGATGTCCCCATAAATTTGGAGGTCCAATTTCCATTTGAATGATGAGTAGATCTAAGCTCAGCAAGCTTAAGCGAATTATACAAGGTCATAGAGGTAGGAAATAATGGAAATGGAATTCAGACACATTTTGCTGCCCAAAAAAAACCATACTTTTAATCACATGCACCCATTTCCCATATAAAAATGCTCTAAAATCAGAAAGCATCGTACACATGAAGAAATTCTCATTTAACCCTCACAACATACCAGGGGATACTAAGGCAGGTATTTTTTCCCAATTTATAAATAACCAGTGGCCAGTCTTAGTGACATCGAGCTAATAAGTGACAAAACTAGGAGTTAAGCCTATTTATTATCTCGTTCTCTGACCAGATTCCTCAACTAAGGAAAGAAGAATAACCTTCAAGTTCTGTCTGAAAGCAGAGTGGTTTTTTTTTTTAACACTAGAAGAAGGTCATGCCACCTTATGAGAATATAACTCTACCTTCCATGTATCTTCTGAGTCAAATTGACTTATTTTATGTGGAACAAAGAGTTTTCCTGGTGTCAGCACCTGATTGCCCCAAATGGACTTTTCTCTGTCTCATGCATCATCCCCCAAACCAAAATTGTCAGTAAAGTCCTGCTTCCAGAATTTTTATTATCTATAATGATGCTGTGAACTCAGGAAAAGAGCCCAGCTCTCTTCCAGGCATCGGCAGTGCTTATAGTGCTGGCAGGGAGCAATCCACTTTGTACTTTGTCAGGAAAGTTAATCTGATATGAGACAATAAAGATGGAGTGCCATCAGGGTGATGTTCTTACAGAAGCATTTTTTTCCTGATCATTAAAGACATTTAAGAAATAAAACAAAATATACCAAAAACAAACAAACAAAAACCACCCTGCAGGTCCGTTTTCTGAATAGGCAATGGAATCTCTCAATGAGAAAAATAAGTCTGTTGTAAAAAATTCTGCAAAGGAGGAGGATGGTCTTTTCTGAGATCTGGGGCCCCTGAGCTGCCAGAATCCTAACATGGGGCTTGAAGGTGATGCTTCATTTGTGCCTTATGATTAAGAAGACATATGAATAGAGAGACCAAAGAAGGATTAATTGGGGGAGGAGTTGTTTACATGAAAGCTGTGGCTTTTTATTTCTTTGCCAATCTCCTATCTTTTTGGACCTCAAAAGGGGCGGGGTGGAGAGGGAGAGGAATTAATCAACTATAAACAAACAACCCTGGAAGAAGATCATACGGTCTGACAGGCCCAGGGCTCAGTGAATAATAAGCACCTTCATTTATGTAGCACTTTATAGTTCACCGTATAATTTCTAGTATATCATTTCTTTTGATCCTCAAAAACAATAAGGGAGGTTAGCTGAGATTAGTATCCCCATTTTACACCTGAGAATACTGAAGCTAAGAGAAGAAAAGAAACTCGCCCAAGGTTATAGATCTTGTTTGTAGAACAAGGATTTGACTTGCTCTGACTCTATAATACAGGGTTTCCTTCCAATGCTACATTATTATCTTAAAGTTAACATCAAAAACAGTAAGAAAACTTTTTGTCTGAATATAAGCAGACTTTTTTTATGTAGTTGCCTAGAAATTAATTAAATAAATCATCCAATATTGGAAAACAAGAAGTAAAAGCAAACATTCAGAGTGGACAGAGACCTACAAGATTACCTACTGAATGGAAGGTAGAAGAGATTCAAGTAAATCACTTAGGATCTCATTGCAAGATCTAATATTACTTTGGTCAAAAGTTGATTTAACTTTCCAGCTAATAAATTAAAAGTTAGGATTTATTTAACATGGGTTATTGTATACAAAGATAGGTCTAGACTCTGCCATCACTTACCCATTGAACAATTTCTTATCTTGCTCCATGCCAGTAGCAGACCTTCCCAAATTGAATGTGAAAATATTTCAGTAGGTTGGTTTTATGGAGGAAAAAATAAAGATTGCTATTTTTAGCACTGACCATGAAATAACAAATGTTCATGTAAGATAGTTTCCTCGTACATAAAATGGAGAGAACATTGCCTCCTGCTGCCAAGATTATTAGAGTATTAAATGAGTTAATGAAGAAAATCTGTATTAATATACATAAACATGTGTGTGTGTATATATACATACTTTGTTCTCAAAAAAATGTCATAATATATATACGTGAAACAGAAGAGAAAGCCCTTCTCCTGAGGAGATCTGGCAGAAGAATAATCTAACTTCTCTTGTTAATCTGTGTCTTTCACCTTCCCCATCTCCCAGGGTTGTCACAGTGCAGTTTGAAAGCCATTGGTTTAAATCATCATACAGAAGGGAGCCTTTGTCGCCCCTTCTGAGCTCCCCTTGCACTTTACATATGCTTCTTTTCTAAGCCACTATGTTTTATTGTCACAAGGAATTTCTCTGCCTGCTTCCTCCACTAGACTGAGGCCCCTCAAAGACAAGCACCATGTATTATTCTGTGTACCGACTCCAGAGCCTTCCCAAAGCCGTCTCTGGCACACTGGAGCTCATTAATTAATGTGCTCTGAATAAACATGTGAATTAGTGAGTCAATGAATAATAAGTAACTTTAAGAAGGTAATATTCTTAAAATATTACCTGAAAAAGATGAATAATCAGAACAAATACAATGAAGTAAAGACAATACTCTGTTGCATTACTCTAATGCATTTCAAATCCTACACAATCACAGAGCAGTACCATCTCTAATTGGCAAATAGGTGAGATGCCAGCCTTGATGGGCCCGCCACGGCTGGCTGGCCAGGGTCTGAGTGAGAGAGACTCAAGAGCACATTTCCCGGGCACATTTCCAGTCCCAGGGAGAACCGTTCCTGTCAGGTTTATCAGCCAAATCCTCCTGATTACCAGAGGTCAAGAGCACATGCAGCAAAGCATTTCTCTACTCGCTTAGTCCAAGGAGAAACTTGATAGAGTGCCAGCAAGAACAATGAATGTTTTACCTTATAAATGCTGAGGAGACAACATGTTCCTTTTAGCATTAATTGCTTCATTCAGAAGAAGCCATTTAAAATCCGAGTCTGGTCTTTTTCCTTGATGAGCAATTTCAGGCTGCCTACCAAAGCTTTTGTTTGTTGGGAGGAGAGAGGAAGAGAAAGCATTTTGTTAAGGCATTTTAATTTTCATATTTAATGAAACAGATTGGGTAGCAGGTTCCTTTGATTTTATTTTTCTGTTCCCTGAATACCTTCTTGTATGTTACATATTCTGCCGGAGCTTCCTGCAAGAACTTTTCTACATTTCACAAGTTAAGGCTGTCAAATGTTACTCACTGAATCAAATATATTTCTTGCGCCAATATTCAGTTATTATTATTGTAACAGACCAATCATAAATCTCAAAGCTGGAGAGAAAGGGAACATGTACTGATGTTTCTCCATATTCTCTTGAGCACATAAAATTATATAACTCTCTAAAGCCCTCTTTTTATTGCTGCAACTAAAATGCTTTGCATTCTTTGCAGGATAAATTCTTTAAAGGGGCTATTTCTCTTCAGTAAAGAAGAATTAATCAATCCACCAGAAATGTTATTTGTTTTAATTAATTAGCAGAGATGTAGAGAAAAACACCACTGGACTGAAGTCAGAAGGCAAGCTCACTCATTTCAGCTATTATTTATTAGAGTGTTTTCTCTCTCATTCTCCCTGATACAAGGAGTACAAAGCATTTGCCTGCTTTTAGGACAAAACTAGAATAGCGCCTGGCACAGCAGAGCTCAATCAATATTTGTGTATAAATGAGTAAGATAATCTAACTATTTGACTTAGTTCCTCTGGGCCTCAATTTTTTCATTTGTTAAGAAACCAAAAGGATTGATAATCTCTGTGTTTCTTATCTCACATAGTTATGGTAGGAACAAATGAGATAAATGATGACTTTGTGAAACTGACAACTTTTGCACATAAATAAGGGAGCAGCATCATTGGTAATAGCAGCAGGTCTAAGCCTAACCTTGTGAACTTGGCCAAGACATTTCAATTCTGTGGGCTTTTGTTTCACAACGATAAAAGGACAGGGTTGGACTAGATGATCTGTAAGTTTCCTTCTAGTTCAAATTAACTAAGATCTTTAAACCAGTCAACAAAGACTCCTTTAATACCCATGCTATGCAAAACACTCTTCTAGGAAAAAAATGCCCAGGAACAATCCAAGAGATTTCAAAGATAAATTAAAACCAATAACTTTTCAAAAATACTTGTCCCGGTTATATTTTGAGATTGAAAAGCAGGCCATTGGGGAAAAGCATAGGGAGATGTGAAAACCAGATTTCACAAGAAAAGTCATTTGGGAAAATCAAAAATTGAGTTAGCTTCTGGTATGCATCTTGTGGAGATCATTCTGACCTTCCAAACTGCTTGTGTAACAAACTTGGATTTAACATTGGTGTTGGCTTTTACAATCTACCTAATGAGAAATATCTTTTAAAAGAGTAAGAACATGCTGACTAAAAACATTCAGAAAAGATGTCGGAGAGAAAGTGAGGGAAAGAAGGAATATAAATATACTATTGTGATTTAAACAAGCAACTTGTACTTCATGTGAGTGTATAGACAACTCAAAGCAATTCTAGGTATGTGTGCATACACATACACACACACACAGCTAAGGGAACCAACCCATCAACAAATATAAATTGTATATAAATATTAGATACTAAAGAAAATTAGACATATAAAAACACTGCTTTCTCTCAAAGGCGTTTATAAGATCCTGCATGATATAAGCCCAAATATCTTTTCAACATAACATGTCCAATTTAAAATCATACCTTTACTCCTTGAATCTGCTCTTCTTCATTGGACCTATCTTGAAAAATATTATCTCAATCCATCATATTTTCTACACAAACCAAAAAACACAAAAGCTTTTCTTGACTCCTGCTCTCTCACTTCCTAAGTCCAAGGACTTATCAGACCTTATTGTCCCAAATGACCCCCATCAAGTCCAAAAGAGGGCATGGGAAGACCTCTAGAAGGAAGAGTGCATTTGTCAGGACAGATCAGGCTCTGCTTCAAGAACAAATAATTCCAGAAATGCCAGTAGCTTAGCACAACAAGCATTTACTTCTTGTTCAATTACAGTCTGATATAGATTGGTTCTATTCAGTGGTTCTTCTAGGCTATGAGTCAAAGATTCAAGTTGCTTCTGCTTTTTAGCTACATAATAGACAATCTTGTCTTCCAAATTCAACATAAAAAGAGAAGGAGGGGTACAGAATATGTGAGAAGTTTTTTAGAGCTCAAGCTTAGAAGTAGTTTACACATGTCTTCTTACTCACATTCCATTGGCCAAAATTCCATCACATAAAACTCAGTCCTAACCTAACCTCAAGGAGGCTGAGAAATCTTGTCTTCTGGAGTATCCAGGAAGAGGAAATGATGTGGTAAAACAGGGCCTTGTCTCTGCCACAAGGACTGTTACCTAAATTAAATTATTTACCCTACTTAAAGAGATTTTTCAGGCTCTAAAATCAACAAACTCTCAGATTTATCTACCTAATTGACAAAATCCTTTCATAATTAAACTCTTTCTATAATTGTTTTGGTTTTATCCTCTAAGAAAATAAAAATTTATAGATCTGTATCTTTATTGTCACCTACCACATTCTGAGACAAAAGATTTTTGTTTAATGTAGTTCTGTGTCATCTAATAATTTACCTTTAGCTTTCCCACACATGTCCTTAATTTTAATTGAATAAAATGCTTTATTATTTATCTAAATTTTCCCACTTCCTGCACATTCCTCTGAAACTGCAGAGATACTAACAAGACCAGGTCTCAGATGGGGTGTGTGACCATGAGGAGAATTTAGAAGATTTTCAAAACACCAAACTTATTGATCCATATCGAGGTTTACCAGGTTTGCCTTTCAGCTATAATTTAGACGAAACTTCCTGAGCCCTCTTAATAGTTTGGCTGTTCAGCCTTATTTAGTCAACTAACCCTCACTCATCTTTTAGGATTAATCCTAGACATTACTTTTCTCTGGACAACTTTCCTGGCCTTCAAAGTCTGGTTGGATGTTCCTTTTATGTGAATTCAAAATACACTGTATCACACACCTTTCTCATAGCACTTAACACACAGTATAAGCATTTTCTTAATGTCAGTATTCTTCAATGAACCACTGACCCAAAGATTCACATCTTTTTTACTTTCCAGTATGCCAGCCTCTTTGTCCAGAATCTACATCTTGGAACTTAGTGAGAATGAAATATATTATCATTAGATTAATTGAAACAAAGACATTTACCATAATTGCAGGTAGGGAGGATTCACTTGGGCATATTCTCACCTTCTCTTCTTCTAAAAGCAATTTTCTTGCCTTTTCTTAAAGTTTAGAAAACTCAGTGGTGGCAGTTCCAGTCATCATGTCATTTGTTTTCTTTCATCCAGCATATTACAGCTCTAAAAATTCCCAACTCTATTCTGATCCAGTTGAGCACTGGATTGCAAACAACACAGCCTCCCCACCCTAATTTTAAAATGCATTCCTAGCATAGTGGTCATTGCCACTGCTGCTGACAGATGTTGATATTTGGAGTTTGTCTGTTTAGTATGTTTTAGTTTGGGGCACAGTTAATAACGCCCTCCTCAGGTCTAATAGGTTACCACTTGTCTCCCAAACACTTGACAACTTGCTCTTGGAGTGCTCTAGATGCTACTGCCATCCCCAAAACCTCCTTACCTGCTAGCATGGCCTCCAATGTGTCTGCCGTGGCTGGAGCCAGAGGCACTCCAGTGGACAGACTCCATTATCAGAACCTGTATTAGTCTGTTCTCACACTGCTATTAAAGACATAACCAAGACTGGGTAATTTATAAAGGAAAGAGGTTTAATTGACTCATAGTTCAGCATGGCTGGGGAGGCCTCAGGAAACTTCTAATCATGGCAGAAGGGGAAGCAAACATGTCCTTCTTCACATGGCGGCAGGAGAGAGAAGTGCTGAGCAAACGGGGAAACTCTCCTCATAAACCATCAGATCTCATGAGAACTCATTTACTATCACAAGAACAGCACAGGGGTAACTGTTCTGTGATTTAATTACTTCCCACTGAGTACCTCCCATGACATGTGGAGATTATTACAATCCAAGGTGAAATTTGGGTGGGGACACAGAGCCAAACCATATCAATTTGCCCCTGACCCCTGCCAAATCTCATGTCCTCACATTTCAGAACACAATCATGCCCCTCCAACAGTCCCCCAAAGTCTTAGGTCATTCCAGCATTAATCCAAAAGACCAAGTCCAAAGTCTCTTCTGAGACAAGGTAAATCCCTTCTACCTATGAGCCTGTAAAATGAAAAGTAGGTTAGTTACTTCCTAGATACAATGGGGGTACAGGCATTGAGTATATACACCCATTCTACATGGGAGAAAATGGCCAAAACAAGGGGGGTAGAGGCTCCATGCAAGTCTGAAATCCCACAGGACAGTCATTAAACCTTAAAGTTCCCAAATGATCTTTTTTGACTTCATGACTCACATCCAGGTCACACTGATGCAAAAGGTGGTCTCCCACAACATGGCCTTGGGCAGCTCTGCCCTGTGGCTTTGCAAAGTACAACCCCCTTAACAGCTGCTTTCATGGGCTGCCATTGAGTGCCTGTGGCTTTTCCAGGCACACAGTCCAAGCTGTATATGGGCCTCCCATTCTGGGGTCTGTGGGATGGTGGCCCTCTTCTCACAGTTCTACTAGGCAGTGCCCCAGTGAGAACTCTGTGTGGGGGCTCTGACCCCACATTTTCCTTCCACACTGCTGTAGCAGAAGTTCTCCATGAGGACCTTGCCTCTGTGCAGACTTCTGCCTGGATATCCAGGCATTTCTGTACATCCTCTGAAATCTAGACAGAGGTTCCCAAACCTCAGTTCTTGACTTCTGTGTACCCAAAGGACCAACACCACATGGAAGCTGCCAAGGCTTGGGGCTTGGGGCTTGCACTCTCTGAAGCAATGTCCTGAGCTGTATGTTGGCCCCTTTTAGCCACAGTTGGAGCTGAAGCAGCTGGGACACAGAGCACCGTGTTTCAAGGCTGCAGGGGGGCCCTGGGCCCAGGCTAAACAACCAGTTTTCCTTCTTAGGCCTCCAGGACTGTGATGGGTGGGGCTGCTGTGAAGGTCTCTGAAAAGCCCTGAAGACATTTTCCCCCATTGTCTTGGTGATGGACATTTGACTCCTTGATACTTATACAACTTTCTGCAGGTGGCTTGAAATTCTCCCCAGAAAATCAGGTTTTCCTTTCCATCACATTGTCAGGCTACAAAATTTCCAGACTTTTATGCTCTGCTTCCTATT